CTCCCAAATGTTTATACATGAGGAATGTTAGAAAATTAAAGGCACCGTTGAAAAGCATTGCTGAGATGCAAAAATCCTGTTAAGTAGTTTGGTTTTAAAAAAAAAAAAAAAAAAAAGTGGAGGATAACATGCTTAGGGGAATCTGACAAAAAGTTAAGTAAAATTTAAAACAAACAAACAAACAAAACAACCAGACAAGTGAGAGGTGAGATGGGTAGAACTGAAGAAGCCAAATCTTGTTTGCTTAGTATCCGGAAGGTAGGCTGCAAATGTCATTACCACTGCGTTTCTTTTTAAACAAAAATTAGAGAGTTACTGTATCTGCTTTTGAATGGCCATGCACTAACCAAGGAGCATGCCAAGCCTTCATTGTTCCAGGCTGGTCACTCTCTAAGGGTTATAAGGGATAGAACTGTCCCAGGCGTGCAATAATTTAGCAGGTGGTACCTGAATAATCACTCGTCGGCGGACAACCCTGGTAGTTACCATCGCCTCCTCATCTGAGCTGGCCTCTAGCTCACCTAATTCCTCTGTTAACTCCTGGTGGAAGTATGGAAGTATTGTTTTGTTTAACATACTAAGGAATAAAACTTCTGATTTCTGCTTTAGCTTATACTGTGTTCTGAAAATTTTATTTGTGGAGGGTGTGGTGAAAACGTTACTGAGTTATCACTCTGAGAGCTCTATCTGAGCACCTATCTGTCAAAATCTGTCAGAAGTAACAAGCAGGTTGCCCATGTTATTTTTTGAACTTATACTACTAACAAATAATTGAATTTAAACAGCATAATAAACACTGGTTGGTCATTGGCATTCCCTCTTAGGCTTGGAATTATTAACTCAAAAGTGTTTTATGTTTGTAGCAAAACTTTCTGCTGGGCATCAAAATTTACTGTAACTCTTATCTAGCCAGTACTCAACTCACTGTAATAAAAAATATTTATGAATAATATTAGACTCATTCTGCAGAAAAGTTGAGATGTGGAGGCAAATAAGATTTTTTGGGTCTGCCATAAATCAGAGATAAGGCTAAGAATATAATTAGAGATTACAACACATGTCTTAGGATATACACATTGAATGTCTCTTTCTGGATGGAATCTTATTTAAAACAAACAAGTAACTAAATTTGGTCAACTTATTTTAAAATCCCAAAACTATATTTTTATATTCTTCTCTGTGAATGAAAATTTATCAGTTCTAAACCAAATTGTACTTTAAATACCCAGGATTCTGCTGCCTAAAAAGATGTTCAGCAAGAAAGTGATTGAAATTAAATGGTCACGTTAGAGACATGAGAAGTTAAAAGAGTCAAAATGAGAAGCTTAAGAGAGAGAAATGGACATTCATATAGAATAAGTAGAACAGACCTGTATAAACTATTCAAAATGCAGAATAAGTTATCAAAATTTATTTACATGTATGAAATAAATACATGAATTATGAATTTAATAGTTTCAAGTGTTTATTTCTCTTCACCTATGAATTATTAGATTAGATCTGGTAACTGTTAAGCCAAGACAGTATATACAAAAGATTTTTACCAGTATTCTATGTAAGTCAGGAAAACTCTGGTGGCATAGTGGTTAATGCATTGGCTGCTTACCAAATTTGGCAATTTGAACCCAGCAGCCACTCTGTGGGAGAAAGATGAGGCAGTCTGCTTTGGTAAAGATTTACAGCCTTGGAACCCCTATGGGGGCAGTTCTACTCTGTCCTACAGGGTTGTTATGAGTTGAAATCAACTTGATGGCAGTGGGTTTGGTATGTAAGTCAAGAAGTTGTAGGATGAATAATCCTGTGCAAGTCAAACTTGTAATAAAAATTCATTCATGGAATGAATTCATTCTTTAAGATAATTGCCAAAATTAGGACATAGATCTCATCTGCCTAGATCTTTTTTAATTTTAGTTATGATTTTAGATAAATCCTGGGAATAGATGTCATTCTCAAGGTGAATAAAAATAAATGTAGTTCTACACACAATATAACATGTTTTTTCCTCACAAAGAATTTGAATCATTTTATTTAACTAATTTTATACTATGCTCTAAAATTCTCTTGATATACACAATATTTTTAAATGATATTCTTTTGAAAAGAAAATTAATATTTGATTTAATTTACATGAAATTACATCTTAATAAAATAGATTTTCACACTTTATTAAGAGTCATTTGGGCACTTATTAAAATGTAGTTTTTTGTGTGTTGTTCTCACTCCTCCAAGTGATTCTTTCCGACTCAGGAGATCTGATAAGGGATTATTTTCCCAGCTAACTTTGAGGCATGAATTGTACAGGCCACATTTCAAGAAATAATGGTTTAATTTAATTTCTTAAGATGGTTGCCACCCCTCTCACAAGCAAACTACAAGGCATTTTCACATTTAGAAACAGCAATATATTTAGGTACAATGTTCTTCTAAGCCATTCTTAAAAGAAATCCAATTTGGAAATTATCCATCCTCTAATGAGAAAAAATTTGTTTCAAGAGATAAGTCCTTGATACCCACAGTTTGGGTGTCCATCATCTGACAACACACAGTGATCCACACGACCACCAGCCCTTTTCATGGTGGACAGACTTCCTTGAGACTATCACTATTGTTCCTACATGTTCCTACATGATTTTACTAATTTTCAAAAACAATGTCAGATGTATTGTTTCACAAAAAAAAAAAACCCTCTATAGGACAGAGTAGAACTGCCTTGTATTGTTGTTACGTGCCAACGAGAGTTGGACCTGACTCATAGCGACCCCTCCTTGGGTTTCCGAATGGAAGCTGACTGCCTTCTCTTTCTCCATGGAGTGGCTGATAGGTTTGAACCACCAACCTTTCAATTAGCAGCTGAATGCTTTAAACACTGCACCATTAGCACGCCTATTGTTTCACTATAGTATTCCTTTTTCTTAGCAAATGAGTTTCTAATTATAAAATTAAGGTTTCTGGTCAAATTGCTAGAATTGGAACTATATACCATTTCTTCCAGATTTACTGGTTCTCAGATTTTTAAAAGATTCACACTTTCACATGGTTGAAAATTAATTTGGCAAGCCTTTTTTGATTTGAAGTGATAAAAGAATCCATCAGAAAAATAGAAATGGGATGGAGGTTTGCAGCTTTATTACAGGTGGGCAAGGAAATGGAGAAGGGGATTCTTACCTTATGAAAAGCTGCATCTTCATCGGTTCTTTCAGAGATCTGTGGCTGGTCATCAGCAGACTCCACTATCACAAGGCTAGTTCTTCGTGAAGAACTCTCCTCTCTCTGCACTGGGGACTCTTCGGGCTCTTGAATGATGGGAGAGCCAACCTGCTCACTGGATGTTGGGGTCTGTGGAGGCTTCTCTTCTTCAAGAGGAGTATCAATTTCCTCAGGTGACTTGCTAGGAGATACAGGTACTATTGTAGCCTTTTGAGTCTCTGACACTTCAGTTCCTGGGGTTGTCACACTGAAATGGAAAAGCCAAATTATACCTCTAGGTTGTATGTATTTGCCAGTGATAAAACAAGAGGATTGGAAGGGAGATGGACCTCATCTTCATAGTCCATGGCAGTCAAAATTAAAAAAAAAAAAAAACAAGCCTCATTGTCATTGGGTCAATTCTGATTCATGCAAGCACATGTGTGTCACAGCAATCTTACAG